AAAATGAAGCTGATATTACTCGCGGGATGTGTTATCTTGAATGACAACAGATGCCTGAGGCAGTGCTCTGTACTACACTACTACACAAAACAGATTTCAATGATGGGGTCCATGTGTTGCACATTGCTGCTGCTGCTGTCTTTTTTGACATCAGCATCCGTGCCAGCAAGATGGAGCGTTGCGAGCCCATATGTTCTGGGAATGCAGCGCAGGGCATATAGGTTTGTCGAATGAGTGTGTGTGGAGTAGCACCTTGGCTTTGGCTTGGTCCATTCTATCCACTCACCGAGCGAGAACACCCAGTCTATGTCGTAGCATGGGCCATTTCTTCTGCAGAGTGTGTGGCCAGCCAACACGTCCGAGACAGAGTCGCGAAGCTGCGGTCCACCTGTCTGTCCAGCCATTGCAGCGAGTGGTGTGAGTACTTTCCAAGACCGCCTGGCGTGCCTCTTGGAACAAAGGCCTGCATGGACTGCAAACGTCGCAGTCGGCCTGCAGCTTGCCTGGCTGACAGTGGCAACACAGACGGAATGCATAATGCATCTGCAGTAGCCACATGACATCGGTGTAACGTCCCCTGAGCGAGCACACGTTTCCATAACTCCGGGGCTCAAGCAGCAGCAGCTGAAACTATAGCTTGCTAGATCTTGCTAGCACTCTCTGCCTTTTCGAAGCTGTGGGGGCCAGCCCCCAGCAGCACGGAGCCGATAGTGGTAGCGAGGAAACATCAGCAGAAGAAGGGCAACGCTCATTGTTGTGACGGCCCTGATGAGCCCTGACAATGGAATACCGGATCAGTTCGAATTCACTTGCAATAGAAGACCTACGCTGACGTGGGGACCGCTGCACCCACGACTTGACGTCCCTTTACTGGCCTATTTGGGAGTGCGTCCTCGGCCGCGTAGGCCACACCTGTTGGCTCAAACGGCTTATCTATTTAGCTGAGTCGTGCCCGCCAAGTAGCCGGCTAGCACGGCGCCTCCGGGACTCCGGGACCAGTCGACAGATCGGCCGGCATCCCTTGAGTTCCGAGCTTCTGCGCGATCATCCTCTATACACAGTAGGTAGATCCGTGGTGTTGTTCTTGCTCACTTGGGAGACTGGAAGTCCTACAGTTAGGGCCCGGGACTTGGGGTGCCTGGCGTAGGTTTCTCCAGAGTTCCCCGTGCAGGATGTGCAAGCAGCGTGCGGCCGGGTGGAGTCATGCCATGGTCTGCAGGTGACCAAAGAAAATGGGCACAGCACACCTGCAAATTTCAAATTCCAAAAGGTTACTCTGCAGAAAAGCTAGAGACAAGGTTCCTGGCGAAATAGCACGGTCGTGGACTGTCCCTCTTGGTCGGTAGCGACTCTGCACGTGCTTGACCACTTCCACAAGCAGGTCGCATGCATCGCCTCGGAGAAATCCCGTGTCTAGTCAGGAAACTTCCGACAGTGAGGGTGGGCAATCGTTCCGAGGGAGCGGTGAAGGTTAGTGGTGAGATGACATCAGCAGTCAACGCAGAGGTGCGTTGCTCCTGGGTCCTCGGGCTCCGACAGGGACATCGAACCTCAGCATCCCCGGTGTGGATAGCAAATCTTGGAAACCCCGCAGAGTGTACAAGCAAAGTGTTCTTATGGAGTGACCGAACACATATCTGTGCAAGGAGTTATGACACACGAATGCTTCACTTGCGTCAGAGCCGCCATGCACTTTTGTGGAGTCGGCTATACGGCGCGGTGACACGTAATCTGAAAGGCTAGGAGGACGGGTGCAAGAATGGAAGGCAACTGCAGTTGCGCCTGGCATTCTTGCCGGAGCGGAAGGGAAGCCGCCCACGAGATCAGGTCGATGGACCGAGCCCGCTGCATCAGATCAGGACGAGCAGTCTTGTCTGGAGGATAAGCGGCGACAATGTGCAACGAAGTTTCGTCTGCGGTAGCTGGTCCAAACACAGCCCCGGCACCAGCTAGGCATGCCCGGTCCTGTAAGCTCATTCGTTTTCAGTTATAGTATTCTGAATTTGCAGTCCCTCGGTTTTTGATGCACCGCTCGTGACGTGCCATGTCCTCAAAGGTCAAGGAGAACTTGCCGATGCTGCGGATGCTGCCGATGGTGTCAGCGCAAATGTTGCTTGATTCTGCGGGCACTTATAAAAAATAAAATGGAGCTGGACTCTAGCTACAGTGCTTATGCACCGCAAGGAACAGGTTCTCCAGGGTCGAGCGCATTGGGTCTAGTGTTAAGTGGTTCCAACGTGCGCTTGTTGTGGTTGCACCGCCGTTTTAAACTCCCCAGCCATTCCTGCAATGCATGTGCCTGCTTAGTGAGCAAGCCCTGTCTCTTCTCCGTAAGGGTGTCGGGCCTGCAAGTAAAGTTGTGTGGGTGTTGATAGCGGCTAGCAACTTCCACTCTTCCCTCTCGGTTTGAATCTGCACCCGTCGTGCCTGTCCAGGGATGATTTGTTCATGTCGTATTTGCGATGTCTGGAGGTGCGGGTGAACTAGCGTGCGTATTCCGGCCTCTTCGGCACAGGTGCCCGAGCGAATTGTGCTCCACTCGTGTGCCGGAAATCACGATTGGCCAGACCGCCCAGGGGCATGCAGTGCTTCTTATGTTAAGCCTCTTGGGAGGTTGAAGCCATCTTCTAGCCACCGGGCTCGTTCGCCATGTTGATGTCTGTGGGGACCATGGCGGCGGTGGGCCACTTAAAGAGGAACACCCCCATACTCGGAGCAGCTTGGTCCATACCCAAACTCGCCAGCTGGGATGCGATGTTCTCGATCCTAGCCGCTAGCCAACATATGCCGCCGCCTGGTGGCGTGGTGCCTATCACCTTCAGGAGAGCTTCGGGCATTCTAGCCAAAACGACCGTCAGCCAGAGCGGCCGGCCGGGAGGCACGGCCGAAACTCCGAAATCCTGATACGGACGCAACGGAGTCATGGTTTGGGCGAGGGCACGGACGTGACAAAGCCAGGTAAAACTCCAAAATCACGACCCAACAGCGCCGGTGCAACTGGAAAGCGTTAGGCACGGGTCATGGAGTCAGGTTTTTGGTGTGTTTTGGGCCCAGAACTCTGAAATCCGTACTCTCGTCTAGAGTTGTTTTCGTTTTTGTTTTGTGGGGAGCTGCAAGGCGAGTGGTCGTTTAGAGCTTTGACCTTAGCGTCGCCCAGAACTACGCGTTTTTTGGTCAGAAGCTGTCTTCATTTCAAGTTGTACGAGTGAAAGGGCGGAGGCAAAGCATAACGTTGCGATATTATGGTCTTCCACACGTCCGCTTCATTTTTGGAGACATGCGTCTCCTGTATAAGGATGCGGGCCTATTGATGCAGTTATGGGAATTTGGGGTGAGCCGGAGACGTCTTGCTTTTGTGCGGCGCAGCCGCGACCGCATGCGTGTGAACTCCACGTGCGCAGTGTGAAAAAGCTGTGCCCAAAAAGCACAAGGAGCCTGAGCCCTTGGAACAGCAAAGGCGCATGGGTATAGTGCCGTGCAGCCCTCCCGCCCACCTCCCCTGCACCCTGCCGGAGAATTTTTTTGTGTGGCAGCCGCGACCGCAGTGAAAAGTGTGCATGGAAATCACTAGATCCGAGCGTGAGCCCTTTGTATTGTACAAATTGACATTTTCGTCCACAAGGCTTCAGCTGGAAGAATGAATCCTCGTTTGTTTCGGTGACACGCTGAAACGTAGCATGACTCCAGACCAAGCTTGTTCGAAAAGAAAGTGACCCCTAAACCGTGAAACCCTGAAGGCCTTCGTTGTTGCTGGTTTTATGCAGCAGGCATACTCTCATGCAATGTGGACCATTTCTGGGTTCACTGAGTACAGCTGCCAGATTTGGCCTGAGTTTTAGCCCAAGCCCCAGATTTGGCCCGGAGAAAGCTGCTTCCAATAGGTGTTCTGGCAAGTATTACGCTGCGTCACATTGCCACGCCAGAAAAGTGTGGAATCAGGATCCTTGCGTATACCAACCCAAATTGCAATATCTCCCACATATGCTTCCGGTCAACCCCACGGTAAGTTGTTGGCAATGGCCACCACGACGATCATGTATGAATTTTCTTGTTCCTTCTTTGTTTCGTAACAGTGTCAGATGGCCACGAGTTTCCATCCCAAACCAGGCACGACATGGCGTTCCTTATATTAGGCGGGTTAGGTTGGCATGTTGGTTGGATATATGTTGCATCCCCCGTGACGTGTGCTTTGGTCAGGGCGCAGGCGCTACGATGATCTTCGACCCTTGGATTCTACCGAGACGATTGCTTCGCGCAGTGATGTGTTTCGTTTGGGAGTTTTGGGGGTTATAACGCGGCATCCTAGAAACCTTCCTTCATGCTTCGGCAGTGTTGAGCGCAGAAAGTGCCTGATGTGAAGCCGATGTTGCTTCTTGAAGTTGCCAGGGGCCTTAGTGCAGGTGCATGGTTCTGATGATCTTGGCAAGATGCATCTGCAAACCAAAGAATGACATGGATCGTGTCATGCGCGGCACCAGCAAGCATGGGTGGCGTTTTGCTAATGCCCTGACCCGTCTAAATTAAGCTAGATTTCTGAACTGCAAACAGTGCGCGGCCACACTTGTAGATGCAATAGTTCGTCGCAGCCGCAAGTGTTTAGGAGTGCATGGAGAGCCGCTAAACATGCCAAGTCCAGCGTGACGCAGGGCGGGGCAGCTAATGGTTCGATCTTCAATCCAAGCATAACGTGCACAAATCTAGTTAGTACCAAATCCAACTTTACTACTTTCATTGTCCATGCTGTTGTCATCTAATTATATACTGTTCCACTGTACTTTCAATTTGGTTTAGCAGGGGTTTGGTGGCGTCGCCAGAGGGGTCAGCTCGATGCCCAGCTCGATTCAGGATGACGCCTGGGTTCAAAGTGAACGCGAAGAGACGAGCTTAGAGGACCTGCCAGCCACGCTTTAGTAGAGGAGTCCGCGGTATGTCTGTGCAGTGAAGCGTTCGGTCGTTGGCACCAGGTGGACATCCCAGATGGCTTTGGTTCTCGCCTGGCGATGGTCTCTGCAAGCGCCGACCGTGGACCCGTGATCACGCACATGCGCGCCGTGCAGGAATGCTTGATTTCGCACAACTACGAGGTCTTAATGGTGCACGTGGGCGCGGGAGCCGATGTCGGACAGCAGACGATGGCCTGCCTAGGCAGGATTAAAAGAGAACGCGGCGTCATCCTGGCCGTGTGTACGCAGGACTATGCCGAGGTGACGGCATCACAGTTTTCCTCCTACAGGCATCTCCGCTTCGCACTGGACAACAGTCTGGAAGTTCTCCCGCTACGGGTGGAGGACATATATCCTCCGGAGCCGCCATGGAGTGAAGAGCATCCGTACGATCAAAACGGAAGTGGCCAGGCGCTAGTCGGCATGAAGATCCCGCCATCGCTTGTCCCTCTGGACTGCCGGGGGAGGACTGCAGTACAGATCGCCAGTGATATCGCCGAGAGATTGAGCATCGAGAAGGCAGAATGGTCTTCAGGGCGGTCCTCACACGCGCCAGTTGCCCAAAGTTGTAAGTCCTGGTGGTAGACACAGGGAAGCCCATACGGCTAAAGCATAGCTTGCTGCTTGCGGGGCTTTTTGTAACGGCAGCCCTTTCAACAGGCCGGCCGCTCACCTCTTCGAGATGCCGGAGATCCCTCTTTCTCGAATTCAATGACAAGGCACATACTGTACTGTCCATGGACATCATGCTGGTGTAACCTCTTGCAAACGTCTCAGCCAGTGCATGCTTGTGGCCACCAGCACAGCCAACCACAGATACATGTCCCTCAACTGCTGAACTGGACAGATCACTTGCATAAAGGGCCTACAGTCTAGCCTCCTTATGAATCACAGCCCTATCCCTTTCACATGTTCTCCACTCTGATCCTTGTAGGGCTTGGTACACTTCGAGATGTGGTCTACTAGTTTGAAGTGCCTCTGGATGCATGCCTGCAAGCCATGTCATCTTTAATGTAAGGATACATGTACACATGTATTGTCTGGGAAGTGTTCATTGACGTTCTGCTGAGCTTCGAGACGCTGCTGTTTGCTCATGCTGGCCTGCCGAGAGGCCTCTTGAGCCTTCAGCTTCCTCTGTCTTCTTCCGCTTTGTACACTTGAGCTTTAGCTACGAACAAGACTAACCGGAGGGCTTAGGCTTGCCTGGTCCCCGGAGGTTTGAGTAGTATGGCGGATACCGGTAGGCACTGGTTTGGGGTCCGACGTGAAGTTCTATAGCCACAAGCACAGCCAGGTCCTTCGCATCCTCGCCACCTTTGCCTTGAGGCTGTGAAGCAGTGCGACGCTGTATCTTATGTAGATGGATCCCACACGGCTTCTATCACCAAGGTGCAACCACGCAGATCACCGGCAGTGTCAGCGCGATCCGTACCAGCCTGAGCATGCTAATTCTCTTTGTTGTGTTGTTTGTCATCGTCGCCGCCGTCTTTGGTCTTGTTACGATCACCGCGGTGCAAAGTCGTGATTGTTTGTAAACGCTTCATTTGTCATGCCTGTTGTTGTGTCTGTTTTGCAGTTCTGATGGTTCAGCGAGCAAGGCAGGTCTGCTGGAGACATGTCATGAAATCACATTAGCACATTCATTCTCAGATTATCAGTTGGCGTTGCAACCACGGCCCAGGTTGGCACCGCCGGTATGGCATGCTCTTTTCAAGGTATGCCCTGAATAGGCTGCGCTCAGCTGCATAAATGGCATCTTGGAGAGACGCGCCAGAATTCGATAGACACTGCAGCAAGCTGCCAGTTGCAGCAACTCAAATCTCCCGAACTACTTGCGGCCGAGCAACGAAGTCAATCAGGTAAATCAAAAGCAGGGCGATGTTCGGATATCTGGGTATCCGGAAGGCCCGGTCGAGACCATTTTGAAATATGTGCCATGTGGGTCAAGGGAGTTTTGGCAACTTGGTGTTGCACAGTGACACCTCGTGCATTGAGGCGTATTGTAACTGATGTAAGCGACCATCCCCCACCAATCGATTTCAGTCTGTTCTGTCATTCCGTGGGCAGCCCTGTTGAAGCTTTCGTTCAACTTGGTGAAGCGCTTGAGTGCGAACCCTCAGCACGGAAATTTGTCGTTTTCTGCCTGTCTGCGCCTTGGGGGCGGCCTGGCCGCATCCTTCGTTGCCGGGGCCTTCGCTTCCTGGGCGGAGTTGCATTCCACATGCCTTCAAGGACACGGTTTTCCCACCGTGGAGGCGCCTGTAGTATGACATTCAGCTGTGAGATGGGGAGTGCTCTTCCCCGTACCCATGTACAGTCTGCTTGGGCACCCTCAAACCCTCAACTACCAAACGATGAACAAGGCTTTTGCAAGTATCCTACGGGTTCTTGAGACAAGTCTACTGCATACATCTCCAGCTTTTCTCGACAAGTCAGGTTTGCCAAAGGCTTTGTGGGTCAGCTATGATGTACAAGCCGTTGAATCGCGGGGGGTGGGAGGAAGGATATACTATAATATACTTTTGTTTCCTTTGTCATACTACAATCTACTGCAATACACGTTGAAATACTCCAATATGCCATTATAAACTACAACTATAATGTACCCTGGTTCCCAGGAGCTGCAGGCGCTCCACTGAAAACTCGAGTCATTCCAGACCCCCGCAGAAGCAGCATATTCCGTTTACAGCCAACAGTGAAACCTTTGTCATTCCCGGTATCATTTCAAGGATAAACCTTCGTATACTATTGAAGTTCTTGGATCGTGCAGGGCAGCGGAGGTGGCAGTAGTTGATGTGAGAAGGGGAGTGCTCTCGCCATTACCCATCCAACTCTCAGAGGATGACTGCGGCTCTGCGGATTTCGTACACGTTCTTCAAGCAAGGCTTCTGCATACAAGCTTTTCCTGACTAAAAGATATCGCATGTGCCAGAGACTTGCTCGCCAGCTTGATGCATAAGCTGTTGAATCTTGGGGGCGGGGAAGGCGGGTAAGGAAGGTTCTAGGAGCTGTAGCCGCTGCACTGAAAAGGCAAGTCATTCCAGGGTAGGGTTTAGGGATTAGCGATCAGGGTTTGTGCTTTTAGGGTGTAGGGATTAGAGTAGGGAGTAGGGCAGTAGGGTTTAGGATTGTAGGGGTTCCGGCATTAGGCATCAAGGTGTAGGGCTTTGGCACGTTTACAGCCCATAGAAAAACCTTTGTCGCTCCCTGTATCTTCGTATACCATTGGGATCTTGGATCGTACCGGTGGGTGAATCCTGGGGACTAGATGATTTGGCTTCGACGCTCCAGGTCATGCAGAGAGGTCGAGAGCAGAGCCAAGTATGAGACACCGATGTGCGCAAACTCCAGGGACGTCTAGGAAATGTTCAAGACCCTGAAGCTGCCAATAGCGCCAGAGGAAGCGGCATCTGCAGGAACATGGTAAGTGTCGTACCATAAAGATACACCCACGCTCCTATATCAGGCGGAACACTTTCAGCAAGTGTTGTTGAGTAGTCTTTATACACATTAGGAAGCTTCACACTCTAAGGAAGATGCTTAGGATCCCAGTACAATTGCCCAGAGACCAGCCCTCCAGAAACATTTGCCGAACAGCAGGACGATGTCTCATAGTTACGAACTGCTTGATAAGGATACAGATAGGGTAGCGGCCATCGAACCTGACTAAAGCTTGAGCCCCGGAATTTTGATTCCGTTTGTGGCCTCGTAAGGGAGGAGCCACTTGAGGTTTTGGCAGGGCCAAGCTTTCCAAGGCACGTGATGGGATGGGTCAAGTAGGTTCTGCATATTGGTGTTGAAGATGGGTCTCATGTGCTTTGACGCTGGTCTGTCTGGGTTGCTGCACTCTCCTTCTCATTCGGAGCGTCCTGAGACGCAGTCTTGAGGCAAATGCTCGTACGATCTCGTGCGTCTTTGTGAATTCTTAGCGTCATGCTGCATCTTGCAACCTCAGGGCTACTCCAGCAGCCCCCACGGGGATTTTTCCGTCCTGTATCATTAGCGAGTGCATGAAGCACTGGTCGCGACCGCACTTGCAAAGAGGATCTGCCAGCAGAGAGATGGTGCCAGACTTGTCTTTATGAAAGGCAGCACGCAAAGCCGAGAGATCCAATTTGCAAGCTACGGCAAGATTTGCAAATTCTTTGTAAACCCTTTGAGACGTCAAGAGCCACGGCCTGAGAAGCAGAGTGTGTCACGGCATTTTTGGGCATGGCCGCTCATAATTGTTTTAAAGCTGTCTGGTAGTCTGCACCGGGCAGCGGAGGTGGCAGTAGTTAGTAGTTGATGTGAGAAGGGGAGTGCGTGCATCTTTCAGGGTCTGAGGCCGCATCAATGGACCTGAGCAGTTCAGTGGACATGAACCAAACTATGTTTTTTTTGGGGGGAACGGAATTGAATAGACTTGCTAAGTCTTTCTGATTGAATGCGAGACCAGGGGGGGTAAGCAGGGGCAAGCTTTCCATGGCACATGATGGGATGGAACAAGTATGTCCTGCATGTTGGGACTATTGAAACGTGGCCTCAGGCTACTGTCTGGCTTGATGAAATCTCCTCTCCTTCTCATTCGGAGCTTCCTAAGACAAAGTCTTGAGGCACACGCTCCCTCTTTGCGTTTGCAACCTGATGCTGCGTTCTTGCAACCATTTGCAACCTCAAAGGGCGACTCTAGCAGCCCCCGCCGGGATTTTTCGGTCCTGTATCATCAACGAGTGCATGAAGCAAGTTGCTGCACGACCCCTGATTGGTTTTTGGGGGTGGCTGGGGCTGCGCTGCCCGTGGAGCTTCTTGTCCGCTCATGGACGTCAGGCTCGTGCAGTCAACACTCCGGTGGGTTTTAAGTCCACGTGCCTCTAGGGACACGGTTTCCCACCTGGGGAGTGCGCTTGCAAAGAGGATCTGCCAGCAGAGAGATGGTGCACAGACTTGTCGTTACGAAGGGCAGCGTGTAAACCAAGAGATCGAATTTGCAAGCTACTGAGACAAAACGTGCAAGCGAGTGGAAATCAAGCACGGCCGCTGGTTGTTCCTGGTAGTCATCATTGCCGTGCTCTGACGAAAAGCCGTTTGCCTATGGCCCAGTGGGTAAAGGCCTGTTTTTGCTGTGGCCGCGGGCCGCAGGCAGCACACTGCAAGCCGAGGGCCGCGGTTAACAGGAAGAGTGCATGGGTGGGTGCGAAACCCTGCTCCCCAAAAGTGGTCAGTGGCTACGAAACCCTCATACCCTCAAAGGAGTGGGTGCGTGCCAAACCCCAAACCCTAAAATAAGTGGGTGGGTGCGAAACCCCAAGCCCTATTCAAAGCGAGTGCCTGGGTGGGCGCGAAACCCTGAACCCTAAAAGGAGTGCACCGGTGGGTGTGAAACCATGAACCCGAACAGGAGTCGGTGGCTACCAAACCCTCATACCCTTATGCAAGGAATGGGTGGGTGCAAAACCCTGAACCCTACATAAAAGGAGTGGGTGGGTGCGAAGCCGCAAACTCTACAAGCAATGGGTGGCTGCGAAACCCCAAACCCATGTGGCCGCGGGCCACGGGCCGCTGC